GCATAACTGAATGCAAGAGGCTTATTCAGGCTCTCTGTTGCTGTCCATTTCACTTGGTGCCGAGGCGCTAAGCCTGTCCCTGTAGCAGCAGACAGGACTGTCAGTATTGAGGTTGGCTGTTGCTGTCCACTTCACTTGGAGCTGAGGCACTGGGCCTGCCCCTGTAGCAGCAGTCATAGAATTGTCTGTGTTGAGGTTTGGCAGAGCCCTTCCACCCTCACTTTTTACCTCACACCTCAGCAGAGCGAGGAAGGTGTAAGTAAAGCTTATGATCCATAAGTAGGGTACCTTTCCTGATCAAAACTCTCCAGCACTGCCTGTGCTTATCACGGAGACACAGAGAACACCCAGAGGGCTGCACTGCCTGCCATTCAACGGAAGTCTTAATTTTTGGAAAGTGTGAAGTACTTTCCAAACTTTATCTCAAAAGATTGCAGTAAATTAGCATTAACAGAGGCCCCTTGTAGGTGAAACACGAGGAAACAGTTCACAGAGGCTTTGACAGTACACCTCACAGAGCCACAAGACTGTGGACTTTTCATTGCTTCTTAATCACTTGTGCCTGTGGAAAAGCAGCATGGCCTCTAAGTTCTCTCCACATTAATAAGACACTTGATGATTAATACATGAAAGTATTCAAACTCTGGAATAATTCACCCTCAACTGTAAATAATAAGTGGACAGTTTTACTTGCCTGTGTCTTTTGTAAGATTATAGTGTACATGTTCCATTCTCTTGTGGATGGCCAATATCTACTTACTGATCAACTGAGCTGCTAAGATGGCAGCAAGATGACTTAGACCCTGGGGCATGGAATTGGAGCCCGGGCCACACTCCAGTCTTCTGGGCATTGTCCTCAGCAGCACAAGCTTGGTCACCACAAAGACCAATAGAAAACGACCAGAAACATGTCTGGGAATGAGCTAGTGGAGAAGTCTAATCACAGTGAACTGAGAGGCTCACAGCTCTGACTAGGTAAAGGTAAAGATGAATTCAAGTAGTGCCCTTGATGAATTCATACAAGGTACAAGTTCAAACACAACACTTCTACATCTTCAATTTTCATCTACATTTTTTTTCATGAAATTGGAGACTTACATTTGGATTTCTTGTTGTTTGTTTGTTTGTTTGGCCTAAGTGTAGCCAGCACCAAGCACTATGTTTAGCCAGCACCAAACACCAATCCAGTAAGAGCTCGATACATGTTTGAATGGATAAATGGATAAATAAATGAGGCCCCATGCTGTTCTCAAGCGACTCATTACTCTTTTGGGGTTAATATAGAGTTTTCCAATATGCCAGGGAGAGAGGAACACATCTATTTCCGTTTCCGGAACTTCATTTTTTGAAGTCAAACTGTTCAAATCTGTCTCTGTTCGGGCAGAAGTGGCTGGGGAGGATGAGGCTCTGCCAAGTGCCACAGCACAAAGATCGCCTGCTTCTTTGCTCCCAGGGCAATGACCTTGTGATCTCATTTGCAGTCGGTTTTAAAAAGAAATCGCCATTATGATCATTTCTTTGATGTAGCCAGGATGATGGGGACTGTCGTGCAGAACCTGAAGGCCTGGCAGTGGCTAGAGAGAGAGAACCAAGTGCCAGACATTTGGCACATGTGAACACTTGTATGCACTGGAGCACAAATGCATGCACATGAACATGTACAGCCACATACATGTATTCATACATGTATACATGCAGGCATGTGTTTGTGCAGTCACTCATGTGCATACACATATGCGTGCAAGGTTGTAGTCATGTAAGTACACATGAATCTAAACATATCCATGCATAGGCGTGTCATATGTAGGATGAACAGTGGCGTGGGATACTGAATTGTCAGGGACTGGACTCCTTTTATCCTGACCTGCAAACTGAGTCCCACAGTTCTGAGAAATCTCACTGAGACAATGGCACTGTCTTTAGATATGGCATTTAAATGATCCTTTCCTCTTTGAAAAAATCATATTAGCCGGGTGTTGGTGGCGCACGCCTTTAATCCCAGCACTCGGGAGGCAGAGCAGGCGGATCTCTGTGAGTTTGAGACCAGCCTGGTCTCCAGACCGAGTGCCAGGATAGGCTCCAAAGCTACATAGAGAAACCCTGTCTCAAAAAACCAAAAAAAAAAAAATCATATTGCTATATGTCGTCAACCTTTGAAAACAAGAGTGAAAATAATCATGTAATTAAAGTTAAGGATGGAGTGGAGATGAAGTAAAAAAAAAGGACCATAAACACTCCCCCCCCCCACATACACACCTGGTTAACAATGAACGTAGAATATATACTTCAAGAGAATTCAAGAAAGATAAATTCAGAATCACTGCATGCACGAAGAGCCATGTGCATATACAAACATGTGTGAGAGAGTGTCAGATGTCTGTGATCTCTAAGGTTTCCTAACTACTTAGTTTCAGGTTACCAGTGACAAACCCTTTGATGAAGGTAGAGAGATCAATGTGCTTCTGATTTAAGCAATCTGAGGTCTTGAGGTCTACAAGGAGTCAGAGAGACCATGTGGCTAGCAAGGGGGGCAGGATGGTCAGTGGGTTTCGTGGTTGTCAGACAACTCTATGTAGATTTAATATGGTGTTGGAAGACAAATGCTGTCAACTCTGTTTTAAAAGGGCAATTGAAAAGGAAGAAAAGTGAAGCAACATGTCCAGTATATCATTCTACTAAGATGCCCAGATTCTTTCTTATTTAATATCCCATGATTATGAAGGCAGGGTTTAAATGAGTTCAAACCTCCTTCTTTGCTTCATTTCTGCCTCAAATTCATTTCAAAAATAACTTAAAACTTAAGGTATTGTAGCTTAGGGTTATAAAGTATCACCTGCAAAGAAACCTCAATTATTTGCTCATGGTCAAACATTTGAAACTTTGCTTTCATTAAATAGACTCTGTCACCAACTCTACAAAGGGTTTCCTGGTAAAGTTGCATTATTTTGAAAAACAAAACAAGTTACCGATCCCTTATCTAAAATGTGTGGAGCAGAAAGGCTTGGGATTTCTTTCAAGTGTTATAATTTGTATATGAATTATAAGGTTCCCTTGTATTTCATGTGCACTTTGCATACAGAGACCAAAAGCGCATTTGTATAATCCATGTAGTTTTGATGTTCTCTGTCACATGAGATAGGGTGTGGTATTCTGTACCTGAGTCATCCTTGACTCACACGAAGTCTGAGGTTTGTGAATACTCAAAAGTTTGGGTCTTCAGATTAAGGGTATTTACCTTGCAACACCTTGGCTGCGTATTAAGAGTCTGTGATGGTGTAGTGAAATAAGGTCTGCAGCTAGGCCAGGTCCGTTCAAAATCCCAGCTACATAGCTTGTTCTACTCTGCAGCAAGACACAGGGAAGGGATGACAATGTGAGTAGAGACTCCCATAGCAACTCCAGAATCGTTTTATGCTGGTTAATATAATAGAATTAGATAGTATTTCAAGTGCTTTTTATTTCATTTTTTCTAGTATTGAAACTTAAAGAAAATTTGATCCATAACAAATTGGTAAAGAAATAAGAGAACTGATGCATTGCCATAGGCAGTTGGGATGCACTGTACTAGACCATACCACCAGACCTCCAGAGTGCGGCTTTATCTGAGAATAAAGGAATAGCCTTCCAGAATTTTAAAAACACAAGCATCTAAATGCTCCTGTAAAAGTTAAATGTACTTAGCATATGCTGTGTTTGCTAACATGAGCTTTGGCCACTCATTATTCTGTGGCATTCTGGCTGAGGTCAATGAGAAACAAGCCAGAAGTGAATGAAATCTCATACAATGATGGGTAAGGCAAGACATTACAGGCGACCCCGACTGTGGGAAGCTGGTGTGTGAGCTGTTCAGTGTTAAACTGCAGGCTGGAGTCAGGCACCTTGAGACCAGAAAGGCTGCCCCTACCTGCCCTGCTTCCTCCAAGCTGAGGTGAACTGAGCAGGTGTTTTCAGTCGGTCTCCTCATTTATAAACTGGCTCTGTGATCATATGCACACAAAGCCACTTGTTTGGCAATCTCAGAAGATGGGCCGAGGACTGACCAAACATGAGATACGATTACCCTCTCAACCTAGAAGTCCCTAAGGGTTGGGGGATGACACCACAGCAGGTCGGGATGCAGAAGGCACAGCTGTTGCCTACTCCTCAGTGTTTGGGGAAGTTTCCATTTTAACTGAAAAGCCAGTCCTAAAACTGAGCCACCAGGTAGCACTGGTTTCTCTCCTTTAGCCTCCCTTTTTCCTGATTTCTAGGCAGTGCTTTAAGTTTGTGTCATCCTTTGAAAGGTGTACATATTTTTAAGAGAACAGCAACACGTCTCTAAATTTCTTTTAAAAAAATAATGTGCCTGTGAAATTAAGTATTAACATCACGGCACTCTGAATACACAGGATGTCGTGAACAGACAATGGATACATTACCTATGCTCTCAAACACCCCACACATCCTTTTCCCTTGGGTTTCTGGCTTTCCTGACAATGCAGACTCCCTCTAGTGGTCAAAGAAATAATTGAAATCTCCATTAACAAAAAAGGATAATCTTTTCTAAATGTTTTCAAAAGAAAAAAAACTGGAGTGCTAATTATAAATATGAAAGACATAAAATTTAGATTGTATTTGCAATTTATTAAAATGTGCACAGTAAGCTATAGTTATACTCCTGATAGTTTACTAGACATGAAGTCATTTTTTTTTTTCTGAGTATGAGATGATGAAAAAACGATAAGTATTTAGGAAAGGAAGAAACACTATTGGATTTATTAAAAATATCACAATTAATGGCTATTAACACCAACTGATGCTTTTCAAAACAGGCCTTGGTCATTCTTCAGGAACTACAACCTGATGCCTGCAAAGAAAGCTTTATTCAAATAGCATGAAAAACATTTAAAAAGATTAAAGGTGTGAGAATTCCAAACAGCAAAGAAAAATTTTGAAAGTGCATATAAAGGATCATTTTTACTGTCTAATTTTCAGATCTTTTCCCGTGGAACAGCAAACTGCCGAGAATCATAGAACTCAAATAACTTGCTGCAAGTCATACTACTAGACAAAAAAAAAAAAAAAAAAAAAAAAAAAAAAAAAAAAAAAAAGCCAATACCCTGAGCTGTTGTTTTTTGCTGTTATCATCCTCCTCCTGTATGGTCTGCAGTATAGCATGATCTGTGATATTTGTAAAGTTTCTCATTGTTATGAGATTCATATCCCTTTTACGTTCTGTTGATGATCTCAACACCTGGAGAAGTGTTTCCTGTCTCTCAGAGAATTGCTTTACAAAATGAAAATGAGAGATTAAAACATCATCTGATTTCTGACCTGAGGCTCTCCTAGTCACTGTAGACTGAAAAGTTCAACAACTGTCTGTTTATTACACATTTGTAAGGGTTTGTGAAGAGCAAACAGAACCCAGTTAATAAAAAGTGCTTTGAAAATTGCGACAAATGCTATGAAAATAAATTTCTGTTCTAGTTGGTCAAAATTAAATCATACTGGGAAAAAAGTCTTTTATCTACAGCTTTAGTTTCTTTGATGGTGAAGGATTGCCAGTCATTTTGTAGAATAATAGATGCTGAAGACAATGAGAGCATCCCAGCAGGAACAGGCACTGCATGGCAGTTTCTGAAGCAGGTGCTGGGGAATGTGGTCTAACATCTTCCCTGAAAGTCTGGGCATTTAGTTTGCAGTAGAGTCAAAATCTCATTACCATCATAACTATGGGTGACTGAAGTTCAACTCACATGTAAGTACTATAATGAATTGCCAACACCAGTAGAAGGCCAAACATGCCTGTAAATTTGAGGTTTTCTGACATGAGAATGGCTAAAATAAAAACACCAATAACAGTTTATGCTGGAGAGGATGTGAAGAAAAGGGAACACTCCTCCACTGCTGGTGGGAGTGTCAACTCATAGAGCCACTTTGGAAATCTGTATGGTGACTCCTCAGGAAAATGGTAATCAGTCTACCACAAGATTCAGCAATTCCACTCTTAGGCATATACCCAAAAGATGCACATTCATACAAAAAGGACATCTGTTCAACGATGTTCATAGAAGAATTATTTGTAATAGCCAGAACCTGGAAGCATCCTAGATGCCCCTCAACCTAAGAATGGATAGAGAAAATGTGGTACATTTACACAATGGAGTACTACTCAGC